CCAATTTCCTAACTTCTTCAGGACCATGCCCAGTGATATTTACCAAGCCCGGGCTATTGCCCAGCTTTCTATACGCTTCAATTGGACCTGGATCGGAGCAGTTGTAGCAAACAACGATTATGGCCTTGTGGCAATAAAGGTGTTTCCATTTGGCATCTATACAAGACATCAACACTTGAATACTTTTTATTAATCTAATCTTTTTGCTCCTTTCAACTGTATATGTCAGGTTTTTCAGGAGGAGACTCGGGGGGCTGGGGTGTGTCTGGCATTTGTAGAGACTCTCCAAAGGGAAAAGATTGTGAGTGATGCCAGACGAGCAGCCCTCACAATTCAGGCCTCGACTGCAAAAGTGATTCTGATCTTTACCTGGTACACAGATGTGAGAGAATTGTTTCTGCAACTAGCTAAGATCAATGTGAGCAAATGAAATACAATTGTGTATTGAATATAGTAAATGCAATAGAGATTTGAAACATTCTATATTATAACGATATCGTTTTTTAAAAATAATTCTTAACTTGATCGTGATCTTGTCTTCTTGCCATCACTAGGTGACTGACAGACAATATCTGGCAAGTGAGGCTTGGAGCACCAGTGGTGATCTTCTCCAAAATGTTGTCTCAACTAAAGTAGCAAAAGGGGTTTTTGGTGTTGCTATTAGAAGTTCAGCTGTACCTGGATTTGAAAATTATATTAGAAGTTTGCACCCAATTCATCGTCCTGAAGATGAGTTCCTCAGAGAATTCTGGGAAGCGGAATTTGGGTGCAGTTCTGGGGCCTCACCTCTCTTTTCACATTACTCTCCATCATTCAAATATGTAACCCCATTAAATATTTCTACACCATCTCCTGCCAATAGATTTTCTCAGAAAGGTTCTCTGCCACTCTGCAGTGGGACAGAGTCCCTGGAGGGAGTGAAGAACCCCTTCACTGATGTCTCCCAGCTTAGGGTGGCATATAACGTCTACCTTGCTGTTTATGCTGCAGCTCATGCTCTTCACAGCCTTCTCTCCTGCCCTGATAGAGACAGCTCATCTGGAAACAACAGCTCCACCTGCTCTTCTCCAAAACACATCAAACCGATAGAGGTTAGCATGATAATCAGCATTTCACTGAAAATCTATCAAATAATGATGTTAATACACCCCCAAATAGGTTTGTCATAGGCATTATTTTTGCACAGGCTGTCAGTGTGTCAATATGACTATATTTAATAACTTTATACTTTCAGCTGTTGCAGCACTTGAACAACGTGAATTTTACCACGCCACAGGGGGAAATGTTTTATTTCCAAGGTGCCGACATTCCAGCAAAGTACGACCTTGTCAACTGGCAAGAAACCCCCGAGGGGTCACTCAAACTTGTTTTGATCGGTCGTGTGGACGGGTTTGACCTCCACCTTAATGAATCAGCTATTCAGTGGAGCACAGGATCCAACCAGGTGGTTACAAAAGAACAATACTGATTCAGGCCAGTACCAAAATATGATTCACATGGCATTATGTCTTAAGAATATTGTTTTCACTTGTTGTTTAGGTGCCGACTTCAGTGTGCAGTGAGAGCTGTTCCCCAGGTACCCGAAAGGCCAGCAGGAAAGGAGAACCTCTCTGCTGCTTTGACTGTATCCAATGTGCTGAAGGGGAGATTAGCAATCAAACTGGTGAGAAAATGTCTCCATAAGACACCCTCCATTTTCCTCTTTGTGTTTTAATTTCCTTAACTCCTCTGCTTTCCTCTCCCAGATTCCCTTCACTGTGAGCGTTGTCCATCTGAGTTTTGGTCCAATGCTAAACAAACCGCCTGCATCCCTCGCCAGCTGGACTTCCTTTCCTTTAATGAAACCTT